CCACGATTAAGGGACAACGATAGGCAACAACGATTGACTCGTGAAGGTTACACCCCATTCATAATCCATGAGATTACTAACTCCATATGGTTCGGAACCACGAAAGGAGGATCGGGGATGATGGTATAAAGTGAGTCATGAAGGCACATTCGCCCGTATTGGCCTCTACTCGATTCTTATTGCGAAAAGTAATTCTTGCGATCTCAAAGGCATGCAAACAAAGATTCGATTTGCTCCAAACTATTATTAGGTTAAATTTGTTGAATGTTAATGCAACACAAAAATCTAAAATATTAGTGATCACTTGATTAAACAACAAGATTAAAAAGGAACCTAAACCGGTCGTCCAAATTATCTTATTAGGCGTTATATTCAATTACATATTCCCATTAAACATGCAATATGGTGATCATAAATAACAAAATCATCATTAACATTGGAAGCATTTAGCCATAATAACGTTAGTCAAATCAAATCGTAATAATAACCCTAATCATGATACTAGCAATATAATATAAAAGTAAGTAATTAAGTAAATAAATTACTCACGTTCCGTGCGCTCCTTTAAATTGCTACATCATGAATAAATTGTTAGTAACTTCAAAAAAAGAATAATAATAATGAAGGAAATTAAATTAAATAAAAGTAGAATTGATTTGGTCCAAACCCTCAATCGGTTCTACCTTTCACGCCTTGGTTTAAGTACGGAACTTCGGGTGTTGTGTGGACTCCGGGGAGTGCTTAGGGAAGGAATGGTGTATTTAGGAAAATAGGTTTAAGGCTTAGAATGTGAGAGAGAGAGAGAGAGAGAGAGAGAGAAGAGAATGTGTGTTGGTGCCTCAAAATTGAGGAAATCAGCTTCGTATTTATAGAGAAAATATGGGGGGGGGGTGGGGTGAGGTACGGAACCCTAGAATTGATGCTCTGCGAAAAATAAAAACCTAGAAATTGTCGTGTCACGGCAAATTTGCCTTGACGTGGCGAATTTTGCCGTGTCGCGGCAGATTTTGTCGTGTCGCGACAATTGTGTTTTATGGAATTTCGTCTAGGTTCATTTTTATCTTTTATATTGCATTAAGTATGGGATAATTATGCGCCGTTTTAGCTATTCCGGGTTTAATTAGATTTAGGTTTTACATATTTATTAATCGGGCTCAATTAATAAATAATAAGAAATGGATTAAAAAGGGTTTGGGCTGAAATGTGGATTGGACTATGTTTGAATGAATGTTTGGGCTGATTTGTTGACTAATTTGCAGGTTATATTTGACTGAATATGGATTTTAAGCACGTCACTCCTGAGATTAAATACTCGACCCGACCAATAATGGAGGTGAAAGATTGTTCATCATCGGGTTTTGTTTCAGGGAGACATTTTTAGGCGTCTACAATACCTAAACGGTGAAAAATGTGAAAAGATAGGGACCTATTTGTGTAGTTAACTTTAGGGTAATGGAGAGGGTAAAGAGAATGGGAAAAAAGGTAAAAAACAAAAAAAAAAAAAAAAAAAAAAAAATCATCAATGGGAATAATAAGGGCAGTCGATTTTCTTACCCTTTGATAAATTACCCTCAACCATATTGCCGCTAAGAACATACCCAATGATTAACCACAATCATTGTAGTTATCATTTTTTTTCTATTCATTTCACTATCTTCCACCTTATTTGTAACCAATTTATTACAACAATTATATAACCAATGGTTATTCATTTTTATCCCAATGGTTGCCTATTAATTTTTGGTTATTCATTTTCTCTCTCTTAAATCATATAAATAAGATTGATAATGCAAATGTTAATAACCGGTCAAACCAAATAATAATTATACATTAACATTAGAAAAATGACTAATAATTAAAATATTAATGCAATTTGGGATTGAATTAGTAAGTAATTAGTCGTTAATTAAGAAGTAAACAATTATATAAGGGTTACTTTGTTGATACATTAAGGGGTTATTTTGTTAGTATATTAGGGGTTAGCGTTACTTTGTTATTTAACTTTACTAAATTCCTTAACAAAAACAATAATACATACTATAACAAATAACAAGAGTCCCCGAAATATAACAAGTGTGATTACCTAGAGAATAATAATTTAAATGTTACGATAAAACATCTATTAATGCATATTATTTTGCCTATTATTATCACCGAATACAAGTTACGGATGTTCCACTAAGTCTTTTTTTAGGGCTTTATGCATAGCTTCATCACAAACACAAGCTCTATTAGACATGTCATTTTTCAAACTTTCAATTATGTTGTTGCTATTTTAGAATTGAAAAAACTCTTCATTATTTTCACTTCTTGAAGATGTAGGTGTTGCTTGATCATATTCATTTGAATCATAGTATGTTCTACATTTATCTCATTCATCCTTAACGATCATAATGTGTAGAATGATACACGTTATCATTATTTTTCCTAGCATTGATGTGTCACGAGTTGTGCAGGGATTCCGTAATATAGAAAAATGAGCTTGTAATACTCCACAAGCACGTTCAACATCCTTGTGCCTAGGTTCTTGTTGCTTAGCAGAAAGACCTTTTTCATTTTGTGGTAGTGATATTGTACGAATGAATACCGCCCATTTTGTACATATACCATCAGTGAGATAATACCCCATATTGTATTATTGGCCATTCACAACATAGTTATTAGGTGGTACACAACCTTCAAAACATCGTTAAACAAAGGGGATCTAATAAGATCATTATGATTACCTGGTATCCCAAAGAAAACATGCCAGGTCTAAAGGTCAAATAATGATGCCACAACTTCCAAAATTAATGTAGGTTTAGCTCATCTCCATTAAACATACCTTTTAGTCGAAATGGACATTTTCCACCGCCAATGCATCCAATCAATGGAATCTAACACGCCTGAAAATTCTCGACATTCTTCAATTCTTAGTAATCTTACCTTATCTTCTTCATTCGGTTTTCTAAGTTATTCATCACTAAAGTATGAGACAATTCCTTTCACAAACTTTGTAGAGAATCTCTTGTAAGAGATGCACTAATTCGAATGTAGGCGTCCACAGAATCAGCAGTGGTTCCATAAGCTATCGGCCTCATAGTGGGATGTGCATTTTTGCAATGCCGAGGCACCTAATCTACCCATAACATCTTTCCTTTGCTGAAAGAATGGATGACATTCTTCTAAAGTTTCATTTAATTTATACGGAGAAAGACATGTTTGTTCAAATCATGCAAAATCTACGACAAAATAATTGTTGGGGGGGGGGGACACATGTGGGTCAGCAAAGTAGTCATTTCATAAACGATTGTGTCCATCTTCACTATCCTTAAGAACTAACGGGGATCCTTGGTGTCATTGGAACTTTTATTTAATATTCAATAGATTTCAAATGGATTGGACATAAGAACTTCATCCATCATTTGATTAATGGGACGATTGACTTGCCAACGTCTTTCATATCGTTGGTTATTGCTATTTTTTGAATTGGTAGAGGAATTAGAAGAGTTTAAGCTTTATGGATAACATCTTTTTTAGTAGCTAAGTTTGTATGAGAATGGAGGATTGATTTTTTGTAAGGAAAAAAAATGGAATGCTAAATGAGTGAATTGCATCTCAACCATCTTATAGAACCAGTATGTAACTATGGAATCACATATTTTTGTCTTTTATAATAAGTAACTTTTAACTCTTGCATATGCAATAGGTGATGCTTTTCTAGTGTCATGTACACGAATACATTATATTTTCACTTTTACTTTTGCACTGTATATATATTTGCATTGTATATTCACTATTACTTTTGCAAGTGTTATGTACATCAATGCATTATCCTTTCACTATTACTTTTGCAGTGTTAAGTACATCAATGCATTATGTTTTCACTAATACCACACATCTTTTAGAGTGATAAATGTACAAGTTTAGTCAGATCAATTATTAATGTATATTCATACATATATAATGTACAATATTGAATAGTACGGTTAAGATTTTAAAACAACACATGTAATTAACTTATTTAAAAATAAAAATGACATTTCAATATAACAATCATTAATACCCAAAATCAACATTACTTTAAAATTATAAAACTAAAAAAGCAGACCTTAAAGCATAAAAGACAATATTTTAGAATCAAGTTTACAACTACAATACTAATGCATTAATTTGATGGGAATGACTTCTTCAACAAATTATTCCTTAACTTTTGATCTTCTGATGATAAGTTTGGTTTTGAATCGAAATGTTTAAACACTCCATATTTCCTTTGCTTCCTTTTCCCTTTCTAGTTGTTATCTTGTAAGTTCCATTTGATTTTCAGATTGCTTTATAATGTTCATGTTCTCAGCAGTTTCCAACCATTGCTGCTATGCTCCATGTGGCATGTTTTCCATCTTGCTCTTTGCTTTGTTTTGGTTAGATTCACCGCTAGAAGGGAGGCAAAAACAACCAATATAACCATTGGTTGGTGTTTTTGGGTTTGATGAAGATGAGTAGTTGTCACCTTCATTGATACGTGATCTCTTTGAGTCACTTCCTAGAGCGGAATTCATTTGCTTGCGTGCATTTCTGAACAATCTCTTCACTTGGCTTCCATGCATCATAATCTATTAGAATATCCCAAACATGCTTGTCTTGAAAGGTTTTGACATCAATGCTACCTTTGTTTTGTCGAAAGCATGCATCTTCATCATTTTGACCAGTTGCTCTTCTAGATTCAGCATGACCATGTGAACCACAAACTTTAGAACCTGAAGAATTGATCCTCCAATGATTTCTAAGTTGCTCTATACCTCTGATTTTCAACAAATCTTCCCATGTAACCCCGTCAGCACTTTCTTCGAATATTCTAACACTATTATACATTTCCTCAATTTTCTTCCAAAAAAACATCCCCCTTTTGGTTAGTGTTAGGTTTTTTTTATTTATTTTTTCTAACTGAAAGCTAATTAAGCCTTTACAAGAACCACTTATTCAACTTTTGACCAAAAATTTGTTCTTCCATCTTGATTGCCTCATTCATGACCTCCTTCATTTCCTTCAACTTCTTCAACTTCTAGTTTGTCGTCGCCGTCTGATGCGGTTGATCCTCTATGAGCAACTGAAGATCTACATGAGCAATTGAAACCGAAACTACACTTTCACCTTGTGAGGAAGGAAAAGTTGAGACGTGAGAAATGTTGAATCGTCTTGAGAAATTTGAAAATTCTCAAAAGATGTGAAAATGTTTCGAAAATATGAAATTTATGATTTTGTGGTGGTTAAAAAGGGAAATTCAGTCGAATTATTTGGCTTTTAGATTTTGTGAACCATAATTTGAAAATTGTTAAAAATTTGGTTCTAATTTTCCCCAAATTTAATTCCCCAAGTTTTAATTTTCCTCCAAGTCTCTAACTTACTTCTTCGATGTCCTCCAATTATAATATTCCATAATTTTAAACCAATAAAAGATTCTAAGGTAACTAGTGAAGAATTCTTTCCTCTGGATGGATTCTCAAAAATTTCAATTTGTGAATATTTAAGTCTTGGAAATCCTAACTGCTAGATATTTGAGTCTTAAAAATTCAACTACCCAGCTTAAGGTACCAAAAGTCTTGATTATTGCAAGTGTTGTATGACTTTTCTTTTTCTTCTTCTCCTTTTTTTATTTATTTTTTTTTTTTGGGAAAGTGTTGTATGAATAATTCCTTAATGAAATCAAATACCTCCCTATTCAAATAATAATAATAATAATAATAATAATAATAATAATAATAATAAGGTTAATAGAAGTTTCAAAATAAAAGCCCCCGAAAATTCCAACTAATAGTAAGCATAAAGCCCTGGAAATTTCAACCGGTAGTGAGCTTAAAGCCCCGGAAATTTCAACCGGTAGTTAGCATAAAGCCCCGAAAATTTCAGTCGGAAGTAAGCTTAAAGCCCTGGAAATTTCAACCGGTAGTGAGCTTAAATCCCCGGAAATTTCAATCGATAGTAAGCATAAAGCACCGGATATTTCAACCGGTAGTAAGCTTAATGCCCCGAAAATTTCAATTGGTAGTAGGTTAAAGCCCGAAAATTAATTCCTATAGATTGATTAGGGTCCCGAAAACACATTTGGCAATTAGGTTAGGTTACTGATGGTAATACTCCGTATTTGTTTTTGTAGTGTGGAGAGATTCACTGCAATTAATTACAATAGTTAAGATTTCGATACACATATAGTCATAGATTTTTTATGTAAACCACTACTTTATGTTGTAGAAAAATACGTTGTCCATTAATTTGTACTTGGTATAACTTAATATATTCATTCAAATAGGGTAAAAGGTCATGTAAAAAAAAAAAAAAAAAAAAAAATAGGGTGAAAGGCTAAAGATTTTGCAGAGTTCGGATGTTCGGATGTTAAAACAAGGGCAAATTTGAAAGTTTATAATCTGATTAAAAATAAGCTATCCTTCATTAAAAAATTAAATCTGCATTTAGTATCAATGTATCTGGACCGTTGATCATTATAATGTGTGTCAACTCCTTACATTGCCACATTATCAACTATTAAATAGGTGGAGAATCTTGCAAAATTGGGGAAAATTTTTCTATTCAATAACCTTGTTACAACAACCGGTTATAACAATAATCAAGGGATTCAAAAAAGAATCATAGTCTATTATAACAAATTTCTCTGGAAAATCAAGAGCAACCATCATTTCTTCTAAGAAACACATTGACCAAATCACAGACCTTCTTAAATTTACCTGAAGAAGACATCTAGGGCACCTCCTTTCCTACCATAGTGCCTGAGATTTGAGAATATCTTGACAAATAAAAAAAGTCGTCTAACAATGGAAGTCTTTTGACATGTTTAGATGTTCCTAAACCACTTATCGTAATATACACTATAATGCAACACTAACTTGCAGTCTCTTTGATCTCGCCTTTGCTGATCTCTTCTCTTCCACCTGAATCTTGCAAGTTTCCCTCACTGCAATGACAAAAAAAAAAAAAAAAGACAGATCAAACTTTTTTCTTTGGACCTTAAAGAGCAATCAAAATGAATAAAAACATAAAATTATGTCAAACTAGTACACACCTTGGATTGTGTTGGCTTTGGTAACTCCTCTGTAGGAACGGATTAATGTCCCTGATTTCGTCCATGGAATAATTACCAAAATCTACTCTAACTTGGCTCGATATGGGCACTTTGGAAGTTCCAGATGAGAAAAATTGCATCTCAGGGCAATCGAAAATATTCAGGCTTTGCAAAGATGGAAATTCAATAACGCGATTATGATTTCCTGACATAAACCACATCATTTTGGGGCAACAAAAAATTAACAGAATTTCAAGGGATGGAAAATTGGAAATAATGACAATTGATCCACTATAATTTCCCCATCATCAGTTCCTAGACTTCTGTTATTTTAGAACACTCCTTTATGGACAATTTTTTCAGTTGCACAAGAGCAGCAGCTATAGGAAACGAGCCCAGACATCCCAAGTTCGTGCATGTCTCAAGAGATATTACCTTTAAATTTCGAAGGCTTGGAATGTAGTTAACTCTCATTACATCTGACATCCCATAGTGTTGGAATGCTTTTTAAATTGTTCAATTCCACTGCCTCCAGCTATTGAAATATGAACTGCAATAATGTAGCACAGTATAACAAGGCTAAAATAATAGACGGAAATAACAAAGAGGAACAATAAAGCACACACCTCGTACCTTTCTATTAGACAAAGCTTGGGAACCTTGTAGGCCTTGTAGCTTTAAAACATCTTCGTCGGATTAGGGTGTGGCGTGCTGAAATATTCTTCTACTGGATTTGGCACTCCTAATATGCTTTCATGTTTCTCCAGCCCTGAGAGTTGCAAAACTCTTAGCAAAGGCATCTCATGAACACAATGAGCCCCAATGGTGGTTTCTGGATTATAGTTTGAGATATTCATTACTTGATCATTCTCATTCTCCTAGTCCCCAAAAATGACGTTCATCTCTGAACAGCCTCTTACAATTAAAAGATGAATCGGCAGTGCATAGGTTAGCGGGAACAAGCCACAAAGTTCGAGGTGTCGTAACTTTGGGAACACGATCCTATCATGTGGAAGTGGATGGCGGACTATAGTCCTCAAAGAATCCAAGTGGTAGAGTGATGGATATTCCAAATTCAGTAACACTGTCCTTGTTGGTACAAAACAATCAACAAGAGAATGACATTCAGAAATCAGTAGCTGCTTCACACCCTTATATCCAACTCCAAATCCAACCCGTTCGTCTACCTGTTCCAAGTCATAACGTGAATGACCCAACCCGTTTTCTCTAAATATAAGAAGACAGTTTTCTGTAGCAATGCCTTTAGGCAAGTGTTTTCTACAGCTGACTTTAGATTCACCGATTCAGCCACTATAATAAAGACTGCATACTGTTAGATCATTAACAGAAGACAGCTCCGATGTTCCTGGTGAAATCTGAAGCGATGATAACTTGATTAAGTTATCAGGCTCGTAGGTTGAATAATTGAAGTTAACAACAAATACACGAAACTGGTCCAAATTTTTGACAAATCTTCCGTCATGAGGCAACTTCTGAGGATCTTCGACTTGAATCTCAATGACTTTCATGTACCTCCAATCACTCAACTCATCAATGCTAGAACGTGCATCTTTTTTATTGACATCACTCTTTCCACTATCAAGATCATCATCAGAATGATCAGTAGGTAACCCCCCTGAACCTACAGTTTCCTGCATATTATCAGCCCAATCAATTTAACTACAATACGTGTAGAGTCCTTCCAACTGCGAGAGAGTACATAGAACTTTGACTGGTATTTTTGTGTCACTGCAGCATAACTCAAATAGTCAAATCCAACAAACAAACGTTGCAAAGGTTCCTCATTGTCTTTGCAGGTAACTCCTTGAACCTTGATCCACGCAAACTAAGAACAAGAAGGTTTGTCAGCTCACCGATTCCACCAATATTTCCCAACTTGCAGTACTCCAAGACCAACGTTCTAAGACTTCTCTTCAAGTTTGCTATAGATATTGGTAGGTTTGGTTTAAATGTCATTCCTCTCAACACTAAAATCTTCAGATTTGTCATCCCTTCAAATAAACTATCAGGAACCTCATATCGAGGCTTGCTCTCATCTAATATCAGAATTTGAAGCTTGTCGGAATTGAATCCATTTAGACGAGAGTTATCAGTGCCAGACATTAACGATATGGCATAGTACTTTTTGCAAGTGTCCTGCCACAACCATCTAGGAAAGGCTTCTATCAAGAACATGTCCCCGCCTACATTTCATTGCATACATGTACATAAAGTCGGTTTTCTTGCAGCAATCAAATCAAATTCAAATATACATATATACTGTAGATATTAAGACTATGATCCACCACTTTTTAAATTTAAAGTTTGAAATTATACATTTAGGACCAATCAAACTAAGGCACTATATATGAGTTGCACTCTCCCTTTATATAAGGAAATATCCAAGTAACATTATCACATTTATATTTTCATTAAACTAATAGTAATTAATGACCAAATAAGTTACTCCTTATTTCTTAAAACTCTGTCAATGATAAGTGTCAAGACTATTTCAGGAAATAGGAAGTATGTTTATCTCATCATCAAAAAAGATGAGCAGAGTTGATTTTTTTTTTTTTTTCTTTATAAAAAGATAAGTTATATATCTTTATGTGGTAAAAGAACCTAAGAGAAATAGTTCTTAATCTGTATTTGTTTTATACTTTTTCAGGTTTTTTAGTTGCTCTATGTTGAGTTTTTGTACTATTTACATGGCTAACTTTTACCATTTTTTACTAATAAAAGCAAATGTTATTATGTCAAATGACAGTGGATTTGTCTGCACATCTTCAAATTATCAACTTTTTACGCATTGGCAAATGTACCAAGTCAAAATGGATCAACTGTAAAAAAGGCAGAAGTATGTGACTGTAATTAGCATTTTGGCATAGTAGGTATTATATTACCCTATAAGTTTAACTAAACTTCAGCAGCTCTGCTTACGAAAAGTTAAAGCCTTGACATACCTTTTTCTGCCAATGATATAGTAGATGCACGAACGACATCATGAATTTTTACACAATCTTTGTCATCATCTTCTAATAGCAAAGATGAAGATTTTAGCTCATCAACCCATGTGTTGGCTAGCTCCATGGCTTCAGTAAGGTTGTTGACATATTGAAACAAGCCCAATCCAATGCCATATCTCATCATCTCTTGCACTTTTATACTTGACCCAAAAGGAAACAAACAAGCAAGCAAGAAGAACCTCTTTTTCGCTTCACTTTTCATAAGCTTGTAACTCGTTTCTAGAATGGAGTAGGTGTGACTGTGTACACCACTAATTGTGCCTTGACTTGTTAAAGGTTTTTCTAGTTCAATTGCAAAATGTTCCCACATATACAACTCTTGATGCTTTATCACATCAGCTAATGCCACAATAGCAAGAGGCAATCCTCCACACTTCTTCAATAATCTCTTCTCCATCTCTTCTTGAACTTCCCCACCATTGTTGATTTTTTCACCAACTCGCGTTCTGAAAAGTTGCCTTGCTTCCTTTTCATCTAGTAGGTGCACTTCGAATATGTTAGCCAATGATACTCCCATAACTTCACACACATTTTTCTTCCTGGTTGTCACCAAAATCTTACAGCAAAATTTTTTCTGTGTTTTCATCTGATTTAGGAATCCCCACTTTACTCAAATCAAGTTTCTCCCAAATGTTGTCCAAGATTATCAGTATCTTACTCCTTTTATCATCTGCACGTCGTCCTTCCTTAGACTTCACCATAATCATTTTGTTATACAGACGCCGTGCCCTCTGCTCTACACTGTCCACGTCAAAATGCAGACCAAGTTGCTCTGCAATCTGATTTTGAATGCGTTCCATACTAGGGACCTCTGAAATCTCCACCATCACAATTTCATCAAACATGTGTTTTGCTCCTTTATTGGCAATTTCTTTTACCAAAGTTGTTTTACCTGCGTTGTCAAACACAGTATGCATACAGCTTAAGTTCTAACTAGCTTTATGGCCCAGTCCTCACAGGCTGTTAATAATGAAAACGGAAGAAAATAATGTTTATTTCTTACTATATACTTTTTTCTATGTGATAAAGAGTGAACATTGAAATATAATTGTAATAAATATCAAGGGAGAATGTGAAGGAGATAGCATTAAATACTTATATTGAGCATGTATTTTCTTGAAAGGATAATTGTCATTTAGCATGTATGTGCTCTTAGGCGATGTGTAAGTTATGTGTCATTAGATTTCAGGTGAGTACTCTTCATTGTTTTTCTTCCTTAAATATTTTTTAGTGTTAAGGAAAATCTAGAAGGAAGTAAAAAAGGACTTAAGGGACTGATGCTAGCAAAGTAGTGTTAGTTATGTCAGATTTTCTAATGACTGATGCTAGCAAAGTAGCAAGTAGCAATAATGGCGTAAAATGTCAAATTAGATTGAACGGTTTGACATTCTCATTCACAAGTGAAGAATATATATAGTTACAAGAGATATTCTTAACCCTAACAAGATTAGGAATAAGATAGAATATTAACATAACTAGGAAATCTAAAGATATTATACAATATACCTAATTATTATCTTAACATCTCCCCTCAAGATGGAGCATGTCGATCTCGAATGCCCATCTTGTCAAGAAAAAACTCGAATTGCGCCTTTTCCAAGGCTTTTGTAAAAATATCCGCCAATTGAATTTTCGTGGAAACATATGATGGCTTTATCACACCTTCTTTAAGAGCATCTCAAATAAGATGACATTCTACTTCTATATGTTTTGTCCTCTCATGGGACACCGGATTATTAGAAATATGGAGTGTTGATTGATTATCACAATACATGTTCATGCCTTGCTTATATTCCACACCCAAAGCTCGAAGTAATTGTTTCAACCATTTCAACTCACATGTCAACCCTGCCATTGACCTATACTCTGCCTCGGTGGAGCTTGTAGAAACTATGTGTTGCTTCTTAGTCTTCTAGGACAGGACACAGGAGACATCCCAAGTAATACGAACCAACCAGTCAACGATCTACGAGTCAAACACTAGTAGAAAAAATGAATTACGCAGCGCACTTTTCGCACCGGTTCTGGAAAACCAGTGGGAAAAGAAATGGGCGGGATTGGGGAATAATACTTTTCGCACCGGTTTATTACACCGGTTCCTAAAACCGGTGCGAAATCAATTTTTTCGCACCGGTTCAAATCGGTGCTAATTACGAAATATTAAAAAAATAAAAATAAAAAGGGGGAAGGGATTTAACACCGGTTCAGTCCAAACCGGTGCGAAATAGTGTTTTAGCACCGGTTCAAACCGGTGCGAAATTAAAAAAAAATACCGGGCTACTATATCTCTCTAATCCGCTTCTTTATTTCACTCTCCCTGGTTTTGCTCTCCTTCGCTCTCATCTCTGGTTCTACCCTGCTCTCGTTCTCTCTCATGTCTCATTCTCTCTCATCTTTCGTTCTGCTCTCATCTCTCCTTCCTCTTTCGTTACCATCTCGTTCTGCTCTCATCTTCGTGTGAGGTCTTCGATTTTCGTTCGAATCTTGTTCGAGTTAAAGCAAGTGGCGAACGATTGAAGTGCGATCTGAATCCTCCATTGAAGTGCCTTCTTAGCTCTCTCTCCTCCTCCATGAAGCAGCTTTAGGTACGCTCTTAATTTTTTTTAGTTGGGCTTTTAGGGTTTTGTTTAATTTGAAATTTATTTTTTCAATTTCTTTTGGTTGAAGCAGTTTTATGTTCCTGTTGTTTTCAATATGTTCGATGTGTTTTCGATTTTTTTGGGTTGAATCTTTGTGATTGTATTTCTGTGCGAAATCGTTTCGTTTTTAATGGGGTTTATTTGATCGATTTGTGTTCGATTTTTTGGGTTTATTTGTTCGATTGGTTTTCGATTTTTTTATTTTCTCGATTTAGTTTCAAACTTTTGGGGTTTAATTGTTTGATTGTCGTGGATTTTTGCATATATGATCCTGTTGTTTTCGATATGTTTGATGTGTTTTCGAATTTTTTGGGTTGAATCTTTGTGGGTGTATTTGTGCGAAATCGTTTCGTTTAACGGGGTTTATTTGATCGATTTGTGTTCGATTTTTTGGGTTTATTTGTTTGATTGGTTTTCGATTTTTTTGGGGTTTTTTTGGATTTTTTTTTTTTTTTTTTTTTTGTTTTTTTGTGTTGAACTTGAGTGATTTATCTTTTTTTGGGTTGAATTTTTATGTTGTTGATGATTTAAAGTTGCAATTGAAGCAATTATTGATATTATAGTTTCAGAATTTGGATTCTTCAGAACCATCATCACATAGACAACGGGCCGGAGGAGGAGGGATTTGTTTTTGAGGTACTCTGAAACGCACTTTAATGGTGCTTATGAATTCAGGTATGAATAATTGAATATATGTTTTCGAATTTAAATTAATTTGCTGATTTTTCTGCCATTTGTTTAGGCGAAATTTCTTTGTTTGTTATCAGTCGATTAAGCTTCATGTTGTTTGTATGGGTTTTTATTTGTGAGTTGAGTTCCGAGATTCTTAAAATGAAAAATTGGATTTCTTGGGTCTACTGTTTATTGAAACACCTTTTCTGTTTTCGTCTATTTGGAATAACCTGAGCTCTAAGGTTCTGTATTAATCTTTTTTTTTTTTATATATATATATATATATAATTACAGATAAGTCCTTTATTACATCTCAATGGATTTTAAAGAAAGAGATTAGGAGCATGTGAAGTATGATGGGAAGTATGATGGTTATGGAGTTGAAACATGGGCAAAAGGGAGTAGATATAGGGATCAATATAGGAATGGATTAAGGCATGAAATTGGGATTTATAGGTTTTTTACAGGGGATGTTTATCAAGGTGAATGGTCTAATGGTCAATCTCATGGTTGTGGGATTTACTCTTCTCAAGATGGTAGTAAGTATGTTGGTGAATTCAAGTGGGGTGTTAAGCATGGATTTGGTTATTATCAATATAGGTAATTTTTGGTTGAATTAGTTTTATTAATATTTTGATTGGTTTTAGAATTGTTATTATGTTGCTTAATGTTTTGTGGTATTTTTTGTGTAGTTTGAAGTTTCATGTGTTACGTTGTTGTTTGTTGGTGTTTATGTCCATTATTAGTTTACTATTATTTGGGTTTGGATTGGACTATAATAGAGTAAATCAATTAGCTTATCATATGCTTGCTTATTGTAAAGGAGTATATATGCATTATGTTTATCAAGGTGAAATTTATCGGTTATTATACAAGTGAGGTCAAGCATAACCGTGTATCCAATGCATCCTACCTTGCCATGGTTAGTGGTAGGAGACTAGGAGCCTCTTTGAGGTGTTAAGGCTTGAGTGTTTTGATGAGGTTTAAGCACCTTTTTTTTTTTCTTTTTCCAAAAAGAAAAGGAAGTGTTTGATGTTAATGCGCATTGTGTCGGGTGTTGTAACATTGGGGCTGAGTATTTTAGGTTGAAATGATGAATCAATATAAAACAAATTTGTCTGATTTATGTTTTAACTACTTGCATTGTCTGGATGATTTGGTTAGTGAAGCAGATTTATAAAATTTAAGGGTAGTTGTTATCAACTTCTCTGTTGCATTTTTTCCTTAAGTAAGCTACTAAATTCATAATCTATAATTGTAAAGACAAGCTAGTTGTTGTATGAGCCTTCTAAGAAAAGTGTTTCTTCTTTAGTAATCCTTTAACTACATTTCTTTATTGGTCTTTTGCTAACTAGCAAGTGAGGGAGTATTTCCTTGGTTTGGCTGTATATGTGGAGTTAACACTTGACAGTAGAACATATCATGGTCTTGTTTGCATCATGTTTAACCATGCATTAATTTTTTTGCTGTGAGTTATTTTAGTTAACAACATTGGAACTTATATACGTTATGCTGATACTCACTAAATGACTTCTATTTGTACTACCTGTTTGTTAATAAGAGTCACTGGATAAATGATACACTCTTCACTATTGTTCTATATAATTGTCAGAAAAGATATCATTGAACAAACCTTAGATGCTGTGAACTTCAATGATTTAGTGTGGCTTTTTAATCCCAGCAAAAGGCTAAGCCCATGATATTCGTACTCATTTTGCAGAAACGGAGATTTGTATGCTGGTGAATACTTTGCTGATAAGATGCATGGTTTTGGAGTTTACAAATTTGGCAATGGACACCAATATGAGGGGTCCTAGCATGAGGGCAGAAGGCATGGGCTTGGTGTTTACACTTTCAGAAAATGGGAAGCTCAATCTGGTTACTGGCAAAATGGGCTTCTTGTCAAGGCTAGCTGTCAAACTCAACTGCCTGACTCCCTTTTTTCAGCTTACCCTTGCAAAGTTTCCATTGCTATCCAGGTAAGAACGCTCTACTTCTCCATTATATGAAAATATTGTTGATTTTTTTAGTCTTGGTGTCTATTGTTTAGCACAGACAAGTGCTATTGCAGTCTAATTATACTCCCTTCGTCTAGGTATAGTAGTCACATATACTTAATTAATATGTCCGAGATTAATGAATGGTATGTGATTGACTTTCCCACTAATAAAGATTGATTAATTAGAAGAGAACTACAAAAGTAACTATAATATAAGGTTTTTAGTAATATTGGGCCATATTCTTAATATGAGGAGATGAAACTTGGGAAAATGTAACCATCAGTATCTGAATGCACTTATTTTGTATGCAGAAAGCAAGGCAAGCATCTGAAAGAGCATATAAGGTGAAATCAGTAGATAACAGGGTGAACAAAGTTGTAGCAACTGCTAATAGAGCAGCTAATGCTGCGCGAGTGGCTGCTGTGAAAGCTGTTCAAACAAGGATGCATAAAGGAATCGACAGTAAAACATCGCTTCAATGTGTCTGATTAAACTCCTCATTAAAAACAACAGGTCAGCACTTGAATTTTCTGGAGGATCAGAATTCAATTCCCAAATTGATATCCTTGCTTATCAAATGCTGTTTGATTTTCATACTTCGTCTCCATACTAGAAAAGAGAATGAGAACTGCTTTTTACTACAATCAGTAAAAGCAGATGTAGATGATCAAAAAGGTCAAATCTCAATCTTCGTAGCTTGTAAACCAAAATGTACATAGCTGAATATTAGTGATGTTCTGGAAATGGCACCGAAGGTGCTGAAGGAAATGGCACCGAAGGTGCTGAATATTAGTTTGGTTGAATATAAATCTTCTAATACAGAGATCAATGCTCCTGTATAGCTGTTTCTGTTCTGTTGATGTTAGCTGTCTGGCTGTGTCTGCTCAGCTGGTTGTCCTGTTCAGCTATTAGATGCTGGTTCTTTTATCTTGATTACTGCAGGGTTGGTTTTCCTGTCTGTGTTGCTGTGAGCTGTTGTTTCTGCTACAGTGTTGTGTCTGCTGTGTTGCTGTCTGCTTCCTTTTGCAGTGCTGTGTTGCTGGTTTCTAGGGTGCTGTGATGCTGAGTTGATGTGCTTGCTCTGCCGCTTTGGTATTGCGCTGTGTTTTGTTATTTTTGTAGCCTGTTGAGCTGCTTAGTTTTAGCTGTTTAGTTCGATGTTTGCTGTTTATATTCTTCATTAGAACAGGTTTTTGGAGTATTAGAAGTTTGTAACTTTATGTATATGTTAGTGTTTATATATCAATTTAAGTGAAAAAAATGCAAAAAAAAAAAAAAAAAAAAAAGAAAAAATTATTTTTTTTTGGGCATTTTTGGCACCGGTTCTAAGTAAAAATCGGTGCGAAAAGTTCAGTTTTTGCCACCGGTTCTCCACTAGAACCGGTGCGAAAAGTCATTTTTCCCACCGGTTTTGAACCGGTGCGAAATCTATGGGGTTTTAGCACCCCCCAAATCCGGATCGGTTCAAAACCGGTGCGAAATGGGGGGTTTGAACCGGTGGGGAATTCGTATTTTCACCTAGTGAAAGGACAACTTGCCCAATCCAAGTCACCATCCTTCCAACCGGAAACTACTATCAGACCTCAGTAGGATGCCTTGATCCGGACATTTCTTCAAATATCTTACTACTCTTAATGTGCCTCTGTTGGACATTGCATAAATTGTGACAAAATATGCACCGGATAAGCCAAATCCGGCCTTGTGACTGCCAAGTATATCAAACGACCAATCAACCGCCTATATTGTTCACCATCTGCAAACTCCTTCCCCTCTACTAAAGCAAGTTTATGATTTTGCTCCATCGAAAAGTCTACCGGCTTTGCTCCTAGTAACCCTGTCTCAGAAATAATATCCAAAGCATACTTACGTTGACACATAGAAACCATGTTTACTACGTGCCACTTCTAGCCCCAAAAAATATTTCAAGGCTCCCAAATCTTTCATTTTAAAACATTCACTCAAGTATGCTTTAAAACTTTCCAATACAAATATATTATTTCCTACAATAATCTCACATAAATCAAGACACTCAACTGCATTCCACCCTTCGAAAGAGTGAATAAGGAATAGTCGGAGTATGACTGTTTAAATCCATATTTCTTCAAAGCTGTGGACAATTTTTCAAACCAACATCTAGGAGCTTGCTTCAATCCGTATAAGGATTTCTTCATCTTGCAGACTTTATTTGAGTTGCCTTTTTGAATTCCTGGTGGTACTTACATATAAATCTCCTCCACTAAATCGTCGTGCAAGAAAGCATTATGTACATCCATTTAATGTACATCCCAGTTTTTAATCACTTCAACTGCTAAGAAAGTACGTACAGTAGATATTTTTGCCACCGGAGCAAATGTTTCATTGTAGTTGATCCCTTCTTCCCGATGATTTCAAAACACCACAAGTCTTGCTTTTAATCTGAGCAACTTGCCTTCCTCGTCTCTCTTCTCAGTATATACCCATTTACTACCAAGTGCTTTCTTTCCTTCTGGAAGTTTTTCTAAACTCCATGTTCCTTGATCCTTGAGTGCTTTGATTTAAGACGCCATAGCATCTCTCCATCCTGTATGTTGCATTGCTTCCGTGTATGATCTAAGAATTCGTGCCTCTGTCACTGTAGCAATGTGATTCCTGCGTTTTTCGAAAAAACGATCATAATTAACAAAATATGTTATTGGATAGGGAGGACCTGAGAATGGTGATGTCGTGGATGAAGATGAGACTTTATTTTTCCGAATGGTATGTGTGACGCAATCTCGCAATTTCGTCGAAGGAAATTTCACTCTCTTCCCCCGACCCAATTCCTCTTCACCCGTACCTATTCTCACTCCTTCGTCCCCCCTATCCTCGAGCTGCGAAGCCTGCTGTTCGGAGCAGAAATGCGGCTGACCGCTTGCAGTGGGCTGGTGATGACTCCCTGAGGTCGTGGCCTGCCTTGCGGGACTGCCTGGGGTCGTATCCTGCTCTGCTCCGCTGGAAATCCAGCGTCTAAACCAGACACAGCAGTTGCGCTGTCCTGCGGGGTGGCTGAGGGCGCTGGTCGGCCTATGGGCACTTGTTTTCCAGCGGGCTGACCAGACGCACCAGCCGTTGGATGCTGTAGGCGCTGATTCATCTCCACCAGCCTGCTCTCCTTGAATCTCCTCATACACTCCCACTAAGTCTCCACCATGCCTCACATCAAACTCGTCCCCTACTACAAATTCATTCATATTCACAATTGTCGAATTCCCACTATTATCTTCTACAAACTCCCCAAATGGGTACACCCGTTCATGAAATTTCACATCTCGAGACACGAAGTACTCTTTTGTCTCTAAGTCAAATAGTTGCCACCCCTTTTTTCAAACGGATATCCAAGAAACACACATTTCCTACTCCGAGACTCGAATTTATCTCCCTTACTTCGTTGATTGTACAAATAACCAAATACTCTAATAGAATCATACGATGGAATCTTCCCAAACAACATCTCATACGGAGTTTTGTTTTGGATAACCGAACTCAGAGTTCGATTAATCAAATAACAAGCAGTCAAAGTACATTCTCCCCAAAATTTTATAGGTAATCGTCCCTGAAACCGCAAAGCACGAGCAACATTGAGAATATGTTGATGTTTCCTCTCTACTCTCCCATTTTGTTGTGGCGTACCCACACAAGAAGACTCAAAAATATTCCCATTTCGAACAAAATAGTCTTGAAGATGATTAAACTCGGTACCATTTTCACTCCAAACAATCTTAATAAGTCTATCAAATTGACGCTTAATTAAAGCAATAAAATTAAGAATTGTAGATTCAACCTCTGTATTATTGCGAATTAAATAAATCCGTACACCTCTAGAATAATCATCAACAATTGTTAAAAAATAGCTCTCCCCACACGACGAAGGCACCTTGTATGGACCCCATAAATCAATATGAACTAATTCAAATAAACTACTAGCATTATTTTCACTAAGAGGAAAGCTATCTCTAATTTGTTTTGCACGTGGGCATACATCACAAACACTTGTAATTTTTCTAACTAAGTTACTCACAGGGGGGAGTAACTTTAACACTTTTTCCGATGGATGTCCCATACGTTGATGCCAAAGATCTACCTCACAATCCACTGCTAGCACCTTCACTTGCGGCACACCTCGGAAAAAATAAAGTCCATCTTGTCTCTCACCCACGCCAATCACCGTCCTCGTCAACTGGTCCTGAATAACACAAATTTTGTTGGTAAATTGAATTGTACATTGTAACTCATTGCTAAGTTAAGTAACCGAAATCAGGTTATAATTCAAATTTGGCACAAATAACATTATCAATCACCAAACCACCGTCTAAGGTGACCGAACCAAATTGATTCGCATTCACCGTCTGGCCATCCGGTAAACCAACCAGACAATTCTGTATTGTCTTGACATTTCTCATGAGAGATATGTCATTAGTGACATGATTAAAAGCTTCCGTATCCAAAATCCATAATACTCTGGCATTACCTTCCAACCGTGGCTTAAGAATATCAATGATTTGTTGTGCTTGTTCTGTAGAAACTCCTACAAGGCCTTGAGTGGGATTTGTTTGTGAGGATGATGCACTCCCAGAGCTGGAATTCGTCCCCCCATGGACTGCATTAGCACGAGCAGTAGCAGGGGATCCACTTGACGAAGTATTCCTACGACCATAGCCTCCTTTACCTCCACGAGTACTAGAGCCGCCTCTACCACAGCCCCTTCCTCCTTTCTGGTTCTCATCCCATCCTTCCGAGAAACCGATAATCTGATAACACCCCTTCTTCCAATGCCCCATACGATTACAATGAGTGCAAAAAGGTCGGTCACCATCCCCAATTCTTCTTTAGCGCGAGACTCCACCTTAAACGCCATGACATTTTCTTTTGGTTTCCCATCTCGAACCCGCAATCTCTCGGTGTTAATCACCATTTGATATGCATTGTCAACTAGGGGCAATGGTGATTGTCCTAATAATTGAGCACGGATTTCCTCATAGGGATCATCAAGTCCGATCCCATCAAAAAATAATGGAGATAATCCTCCTCACTAATCTCCGTAACCTGCCTTGCAATGTTACACTTACATATACCACAGGAGCATTGCGGAACACGGCAATATTGCACCAATTCTTTCCAAATTTTTGACAAACGACCGAAATAATCAGTCATAGACTCGGAAGAAGCCTGTTTACATTCTCTTAACTATTGTTTCAACTGGCAAATACGAGTCCCACTCACCACACAATATCTTTGCTTGAGATGCTTCCACAATTCCCTAGCAATATCAAAGTCTTCAACCTATGAACGTATGCCATCCTCAAGTGTGTTTGGAAAGACAAAAAAGCATTGTAGAAATACTCTATATTTACCTATGGCTCCCATGCCAAATATGCCAACAGCATCGACATGGTCATCTTGTAATTTCTCGAGTATTTCCCTCATAAGCAGATTTCTCGTAGACAAGGTGTCCAAAAACTCAACAGGGATGGATTTGAATTCTGATCTGCTTACAGGTTCAGCGATCATCGATTTTTTTGGTTTGCCTTTGATTATGTCTTCAATTTCCTTGGCCTTTATTTCAGCCATATGGCTCATCTCATAACGTTGATAAAGATTGCAAAGAAATACGCCAAAGCAACACCGGTCCCTGGCTTTTCTGGCCTTCTCATCCATGAGCTGCTTCCAATCAGCCTCATCTACTTCCATAAGGCTATGTACCTTTGCAAGCCATTCATCAGTGAGCTTATTACTTTTATGCAAATTCTCCTGTTCGAGCTCAACTTTGTTACTGATCATTTCTTTATGGTTGCCCAATTCCTAGTACTTGTCTTAGATCAGGCTTATATTGCCATTGTAGTTTTTAATGTAAGAGTAGCATTCTTTTATCTTGTCAAAGATGACAGACTTGGCAAACTCTTTGGCTGCATTTTCAA